CCAAGCGCGCCCTCTACGAGGCGGCGGGCTACCCGGCCGGGGCCGACGCCGCCGCCTCGTCCCCCAAAAGACTCTGCCTCCGCCCCGGCGAGCCCCTGGACGCCGCCGCTGCCTCCGTGGTGGTGGTGTCAGTGAAACACGACCCCCTGCCTCACCTCCTCCCCGAAGCCAATGGGCACAGAAGCACCAACTCACCCACAGTAGTTTCACCTGCTCTTGTTCCCCCCACACAGGTAATAACAACAGCAACCAGAGTAAGAATGAGAATAAGAATAATAAAAGGAGAGGGAAGGAAGAAAAAAAAAAAAAGCGCAGCCCCCTCCCCTCCAAGCAAGTCTCTCTACACAGCCAGGCGCCCTGCTCTGCTCGCCCGCCGAGCAACCAGCCGCTCCACTCCCTGTCCCTGTGCAGGCATGAAAGAGTCCTGGTGCCACTCACTAAACTTCCTTCTTCCCCCTCCCTCCTCTCCGCCCCTACATGCAGCTTGCGAAGTGCAACTGCGCTGCCTCCTTAGCTGCAAAGTTTGGAGCAAGGGATCTGTCCTCGCCAGGCAGAGAGGGAGGACCGACTGGCGGCTGCTGCTGCTGCCCCAGATCGCTGCTAAGAACAAGATGAAACTCGGAGCTTCCCGCAACAGTAGGATTAAGCAGCTCCACTCTGAGGCTCCCCCCTTGCTTTTTCTTTTCTTTTCTTTTCTTTTTTCCCTTTTTGACTGGTAGATGCGAGTTGTGCAAGGCAGGCTCAAATATTAGATAAGAATTCCAGCTATCATTAGCGAGCCTGGTGTTCTTGATGTGCTAATGAACTCTTTAAATAACCTCATAAATGCAGGAAACAGCCAAGAGACTACTCAATTACACATTGGTAATGAGGGTGTAATTTTAAACTTCAGAAGTTAACAAGAGGGTTAATGTGGCAATTGCATTCATCTTGTATTTGTTTATTAAGAATAGCTCTGTTTCCTGGCAACCATTCTTAATGAAAAAAAAAAAGCAGCAAGAAAGTAAATTGGCTTTAGTTGTGCAGTTGCATTAGTTACCATAGTGTCAAAATATACAGTAACAGCCCAGTTGCTTGGGTTAGGTGTACCTTAACTCGGGAGTGAGATCAGGTTCTGTAGGTATGTGTCATTTCAGCTAGGCAGCTTGGTGGGATAGGTGTATGGCTGCAGGCTGTGATGTATTCCTTAAGAGAACCCCCCTCTCTCCAAAACAGTACTCGCCCTCCACTTTCCAAAATCCCCTTTCCGGTTGGGATTTCCTTTTTAAACCATTCCAGCAAAATGACCTTAGTCCATTTAATTAAAAGACATGCTAAAAGAGTCCTTTTGCTGTTGACTTGGAGTTTGGAATTTACTCCAACCAAATCTATAAAACTTTGCAGTTATGTCGTGCCTCATAAAATACTATGTTTCAGGCGACAATTTTAATGTTGGCTGCCATACATGATTACAGAAACCCTCTGACATTCCTGTGTCAGGCAATAACAGTGATTTCAGTTGTAGGCCTAAAAGAGCACCGTTCAGTGAACACAGGTATATGACATGCCTGAGCTGTTTCCAAAGTGGAAATACCAGTTTTGGACAAACTGACCCTTTCAAGCAGTTTGCCAGCTAATCAACCAGCCTGAAGGCTAATTGAAAAGGAAAAAAAAGAAAAGAAAAAAAAAAGGCCTTTCTGTGAATGCCTCTATAAGCATCTACATTTTCTGAAATACCTGTGACCTCTCCTTTCTGGTAGAGAGGTTTTTGGCCACTTGAGTGGAGTAGTGTAGTTTGAGCTCCCGCTGTGTGTATCTGGTGTCTCTGAATAGCTCAGAGCCTTGATTATGTGCAGATAATGTTTTTGTTCAGGCTCATTATTTCAGATATAAGCCAACTCTCTTCACTGTATTTTAACCCTAAACTTCCTTGTTCACTGGCTTTTAATGACTTGGAAATAAATCTTAAAACTTCTAAACGAATTCCAAATAACTATGCCTGTGAATAAGGGAAGAAGACAGAATGAGACAACCAATCTTGACAGCTAGATGGAGGGGAGCATGTGCACTTTTGACAAGATGAATTGCCTTATCCCGTTGTAACATTAATAGCTTGATACTTTTATTTTATGTAAGCGTTACAATGCCTAAGGAGAGGCCCAGCTACTGTGCTGCTTTAAGTAGTTTCAACTGCTTCTGAGATGCAGCTAGTTTTATGCAGAAGAATGATGCATATAGATGCATGTAGACGTTAGACCCCATCTGTATTGAGTATAATAAAGGAAAACCATCTGACTGTGCATTTTGAAGTAATTCTGTGATGATGCCCACCTTCATTCACCACTTGATGAGCCAAACAAACTTTTGAGTCAGTTGTGCAAAAAGATTAGTTTTTGCTTTCTTTGCAAAACTGGTTGATTCAAGTCTTGGCTGATAGGTGGGAGAGGTTCCTCTCCCCTTCTCTTCCACTCCCCTCCCCCTACCCCCCATCTAGATAAATCACATTATTTTCGTATCTTTTTTTTAATAACACTTTTTTCACATGGGGCATGACAAAATGAGAAAGGTACTTTCTTCTCTGTTTACAAAGCAAGACTTTTCTTTTTAATAGAGCATTAATGTTAAACTTTTCTTTTTAACTACCTTTTTTATAGCTGTAATGATTGAGGTCCAGAGCATTTCCTGGGGAAATTAATGACTGTCTGGGGTTAATGGCCCAAGGCATTGCTTCTAGCCATCCACTCTCCCAGCTGGTCATTAATCCCCAGGAAATGCCCTGGACCTCAATCCTTATTGCTTAATCATAAACAAAGACTTTCCAGGCCTTATTACTGAGTAGACCTCATCAGGCAATGTGACACTAAATTACACTGTTGACAAATATTACTGATTTCTTGATAATTTGAAGGTTGCAGCATAGTGCTTCCATTGAGCTTTTACTATAAACTAGTTGCAAAGGAATAGATTTTGCCATCATTATTGAGTCGGGTACTACCCATGAATAAAGGGCCGGCCGTGCGCGCGCACGCGCGCGCGCGTGTGTGTGTTTCCACTGTTAGTAACTTTAAGCTTTAAGGTATAAAAAGATTAAACAAAAGTACCAAACTGAATTTAACTTAGGCTGCCTACAAACTTTAAATGTGTTAAGAGCTTGAGTAAGGATATTTAATTTTATGGATCTCTATCATTGCTGCTTCCATATTTCTTCTTAGCCTGGAGATGTCTTTTAGTAGTTGGTGTGCAGAATTGCTGGGGAGCCTGTTCCTGCGCCAGGGAAAGGTACATTAAATGTTCATCTTGACACATTATGATCCAGCCAGTTGCTTTAGGTTTCAGCCCTGAGAGGAGCATTATACAATGTACTTTAAACATACAGTACTGTACCATCATGCCACCCCTTTACTTCGGTCCTTATTTGCTCTGAAGTATAGCAATTTTCCTGCCACTGACAACAGTACTTCAGTTCAGCTTGATGACAGAGGGATGTAATTTGGCTGCTCATCTCTTGCATTATTGAAAGATGAACAATAGCTAAAGTTTTAAAGCTCTCAGTGTTGCAGTGTGGTAGGTGGTGAGGTTTATAGACTTGCTACGTATTGAGCTAAGTACAGGAGTAACATCCAAAAATAGGTCTAAGAAAGTAGATTGGCTTCTGCCACAGGGAAAAAATGCACATCTCTTAAGGAAATGCTTTTCTGGTGCTGGCCCTCTAGCTTGGTTGTATTCTCTAGGGACTTTTGAAGAGTTCCGTAAATATCAAAATAATTCCATCTATCGAGTAGTCATTCAGGCCTCCTCAGCATTCATATTTGTCATTATGGGTGTTTTAAGAGGTGCTCAAGTTTTAAACCAGGACTAGTTCTCTGTTCTGGGAAATGTGACTTTTTGCTATCTTAAACCCATCAAAAGAAAGCCATGTTGACAGGACTAGGAAGCTGGTTCTGATTTCAGGTTTCATAAAAGGAGGAGAAAAAAATGGTACTTGATCTACTTGGTTAGTAATTAATTGAAGCAATGCATCTGGCTTCTGGTTCAGTTTTGGGCACAAATCTTTCTGCGTCATTTCTTTTCTTAAATCCATTCCATTGTCATAAAATGGTAAAATTGATGCCTGGCTTCTGAAATGTGTGTTGCACTATGATAGTACCACCAGGGTCGTCTTGTGCTAGATGCTGTCATACTGGATGACAGTCACTTGTATTAAACTCTAGGTCAGGATTATCACACACTGGTAGGTATCTGTACGTGCTCTGTACAATGGGACTAGAAATTAGGCATAGTTTCAGTACAATAACAAAGACAGGATCCTTGTTTTAAAAGGATACTAAACAAAAATATTCAAGAGTGGTGAAAGGAAGTAGGCTGCTAGTTTTCTGTCTGAGTGTATTTACCTAACAGTTGCTACTGAGTCCACTGGGATCTAGTCAATATTGTACTCTTGCTTTGAGTCGTTAATCACTGTTCAGCATAAAATTCAGCGTTTGCTTGGCTTCTTTTAAAAAGGAACACTGTAAACGTGGACATTTCAGAACCTGAGGAAAAAAGTAGGTGCAGTGTCTGAATTTGAAACTATCTCTAAGTTTCTCTTCGAGTTGTATGGTGTTTGGTTTTCTTTGTTTTTTAAGAGGTCTTCCTTTTGTGAGAAGACCAGCACACATAGTAAGTGAGAGACTATACAGGGGAACCACTGAAACACTGAACAACTGTTGTCAAGTGTATGAAGCAGATAAACTGGGGAAAATGAGGAGAAAATCCTGGTGGAAACCTTTGTCCAATATGAAATGAAAGGCAAAATTCCCATTCTCTCCAACAGGCCCAGAATGTCACCCAATGTTTTTCTATTCTTATTTCACTTGTAAGTAAATGGACATGTTCTACACATAGGAATATTACAATGAGACAGAAGTATGCTCATTCTCGGCCTGTCCCTTTTAGCTTCTTTGTAGTTAGCAGAGTTTGACATGCTTGTGACCGTTTCCTAAGACTAATGTGTTTTAACAGAAATGAAATTAGGTTAGAAACTTGGTAAGGCAATGGTGGTGATACTTATACTGAGACTGACAGATTTGCCAGCCCTCTGCTTGTTTTTTTTTTCCATTTAACTTTATAGCGGTTGTGTTCATTTGTTTTCTTTCAATCTTTCTTAAGTTGGCCAACATTTATGTACCTTCAGAATTTTCTGTCTTTTGAATCACAATCTCGGAGCAGTTGCCAAACTAGTCACAGGTAATCTTATTCTACATGGACACTTGTGTTTATTTAATGGGAGGGAGATTGAATTAACTAGTTTATATTAGCAGTATTCTTTTTTCTTTTAGCAAGACTATTAAAATACAGCTGTTACAGTACAGCGGCACTGACCAGTCTTTTGCTAAATGTATTAAGCCACTTGGTCATATTCACGTTTTGTAGGCTTGTATGGGACAAGCCTTCAAAAGGCTTTGATAAGAAGAAAGGGAAATTGATTTTGTATAAATCAAACTGAGGTGACCTTTCTGATACAGTTAAGAATGAAAACAGCGTCATAACTGGAGTGTTACATTGACACTCCTTTTTAGTATACTGTGGCATTGGAAATGATTAACTTTAAAGCTAAAAGGCACAAACTTAAAGTTACAGGCAGTATAAAGCTTTTTTTTTAAAGAACTTGGAGATTG